CTTGCCTTGGACCCAGGTCATTTGCAGTGACATTGCATGAATGTTTGAGAAAGGTGACCCTGCTCAAGAACCAGGGTGGATCCGGGTTTAGGGAGGATCCTGCTGGATTAGGGTGGTTCCTTGTTTAGGGTGTATCCTGCTGGGAATAGGGAGTATCCTGCTGCCTCAAGTGCCTGCTCCTTGGGTTTAGGGCGGTTCCAGGTTTAAGGTGGACCCTGTTGGGAATAGGGCGTATCCTGCTGCCTCAGGCACCCGCCCACTCCTTGTGTTCCCGTTGAGTTCTCGTGGGATTCAGAGAGTATTTTGGGATGCAGAGCCGAGTGGAGGTGTGGATTTTCCCCAGAACGTGCGTGTAGAGTGCCGGTGACAGTTCGGGAATAAAGAATTGCTGTTTGAATCTACAAGGCTGTGAGTGGCTCGTGATTTTGTTCCCAGCCAGACTGTGGCAACAATTTCCCCGTGTTTCCCCTCCTCCTGTTTCCCTTCCTTCTACTCTTCAGGGCTTCTTTCTATTCAGCACATATATATTTTTTTCCATTGATGCTGAGGATATTTTGAAATCAGGAGTGGATGCTGAATTTTATTAAAGGCTTTTTCTGCATCAGTTGATAGGACCATGTGACTTTTGTTCTTTATGTGGTTAATGTGACATATTGCACATTTGATTTTCAATGATCGGGTCACTCTTGGGTTCCAGGGATCAAGTCCATGGGGTCATGTTGGAATGTTCCTTTTGAAAAGAGCTCAGTTTGATCCTATGATGTTGTCTGAGGATTTTTTTTACCTCTGTGTTCATGAGAGATGTTGATCTCTGGGTTTATTTTTTAATACTCAGTGGTCAGATTGGGATGCTGCTGTAAATGGATGAGACGAAGTGTTCCCTTCTCTGTTTCCCCAGAAAGTTTCATGGAATGGGACTGTTTCCTCCTTGTTTTGTTGGGACAGCCATCTAAACCTGGATTTTATTTTTTTAGTGGTGATAAACTAAAAATGCACTCCAGTCAATACTTGCAGAACTATTCAGAGTATCTATTTCATCTAGAAACATTTTGGTCATTTGTGATTTTTAAGAAATTAGCCCATTTAATCCCAGTTCTTAAATTTTTATTATGATATTATTTTTTTCTCATTTAATATCTGCCAAAGCTTTTCTGAAAGCCCCCCTTTCACTCTTCATATTGGTAATTTGTGTCATTTTTCCTTTTTGCCTGTCAGTCTCACTAGAGGTTTATCTTTTGCTCTTTTAGAAGAGCCAGCTTTTGGCATTACCGAATTTCTCTATTGTTTTTTGTTGCTCACTTTATGGATTGCTGCTCTTATCTTCATTTTTCCCTTCCTTCTGCCTATTTTGCACTTATTTACTCTTTTCTGACTTATTCAGATGGAAACTCAGTATACTGATTTTCAATTTTCTTCTCTGCCAAAATGTGCATTTAGTTCTATCAAGTTCCTTTTCAGTCCTGCATTACCTAAACCTCACATGTGTTGATAGTCTGTATTGTGATTTTTTTTTGTCATTTAAAATATTTTAGTGTCCATGGAGACTTCTATTTGACACATGGGTTATTTAGAAGCATGTTGTTCAACTGCACATTGGACAAGTATTGCACATTATTCTTATATTCTTCTGTTATTGAGTTCTAGTTTAATCCTATTTTTGGGAGAAAGTGTATGCTGGCTGATTTCCTGTTTTTTAATTTGTAAGGTTCATTATTATTTTTTTCATCATCTAGAACAAGAGCACATTGTGTATGTTCTTGGGCACTTGAAAGCAATGTGTGTTCTGCTGTTGTGGGTGAAGTGATCAGTGAATGTCAGTTAGGTCCGATTACTCGGTGGTGGTGTTCAGTTCTTCTGGGTCCTTGATGGTTTCCTCCCATGAGCTCCATCAGTTTCATGAGAGGAAAGTCAAGTCTCCAGCTGAAGTTGCTTATTTGCTGTTTCATTTTTCCAGATCCTTTTGACTGCACCTGTGTTGAAGCTGTGGATGCCTGCACACTTGGGATCGCTGTGTCTTACGCATGATGATTGAACATACCAGACTGGGGACAGGCACTCCTAGAGAGACCTGCCTACAAGGTTGGCTTTTAGCTGAGTCTGGAAACTGGGCAGGTCAACTGTTGCCTGCACTAATATAAACCTTGCCCTCAGTGATCACAATGACTCAGCATGTCCAAACCACCTGTATGAACAGTGAGGTTTACACTCCATGCTGCCTGCCTTCTGGGAGTTCAGAACTCCAGTACAGGCCAGGCAGAGAGGAACTAGGTGACTCTCCATGGACCCAAACCATAGACTGTTACTCTTGGGATCTTCTTGGGTAGACAACCCTCCACACGTGTTGTCACAACACATCGATGAGGAAGTTGAGTGATCCCATGTGAATCCTCTGGAGATGCTCGTGGAAGCTCGCGCCTGGCTTCCTCAGGACCTCTCCCCATGGGACTTTCCCTCTTGCCCATCTTGCTTTGTGTCCTTTGCCTAAATAAATATCAGCTGAGGGTGCAATTATATGAACACAACAGGAGGAAGATGGTTGAAGTCTCTCCTTGTGAAGGTGCAGAGGTTTGGGCTCCGAGGGGTGGAGTGATGTGCTCAGGTCACTTGTGTGCAGAGGCTGAGCTGGACCCTCCCCTGCCTGTAGCCCTCATGAGTCACCCCAGGACCTCCCTCTGCTCCTCATTCCCCGCCTCTGTCCTCACTCTCAGCACTCCACCCAGGGCACCTCAGCATCACAAATCAATTATTTTTCTATTCCTCTTCCCTCTTCAGGTCTGATCTCATGGATGAGATCTCTCTCCCCAACCCTTATTCTAGGCTCCCCAATACCAAAAGAGGGGTCATCCAAAGTCCTCCCAATGCCCCACATTTCTTCCCTCAGCCCCATTGTCCACACTGCTGCAGACCCCAGGAATCTCTCCTGATTCCTTTCCTCCTCCACCTCCTGTCTATTAACTTAATCAGGGCAGTTCCCTTCTTGCTTCTCTGACCTCCATAGCCTCCTGCCAGCTTCCCCACCTCCTGTCCCTGCTGCCCCATACCCAGTCCCCAAGACCACATGCCCTTCCTCATCAACACTTCCTCCCTCCCTCCCCTCCCTGGGCTCTGCCCCAGGTCCACCCAGGGCCTCGACCTCCACTCACCTACTGCTCCCTCTGGCCTCTGCTCTTCTGCACTCCTGGGTCTCCCTGGCCTAACCCACTCCCCATGCCCACTCCCCCTCTTCCCATTCCCATCCAGACTCCTTCCCACTGGGTGCCTCACTGCCCTCTGGCTCAACTGGCCCTCTCGGGGACCCAGGTTACAGAGCCCATCATGCAAGGAACAGGATGGGCCACAATTCCCTGTGCCTGTCTGAGCTCCCTCCAGCCTCCAGGAGAAAATCTCCCGGGGGCTTGGCCTCCCTCCCTGCATCTCCAAGATCCATCTCGGGGCCTGACTTGGACTTGAGCAGAGCCAGGCCTCTGTCCATCTCCTCCTGCACCCCAGCCTGAGTCAGCCTGTCCATCAAGCCCCAGCAAGACTGAGACAGCAGGAGGGAGTTTCCCTACCATCCTGAGTTGCCCAAGGTCATGGCCAGGGCACTGTGAGCAGAAAGGAGCTGAGCTCTGAGGTTGAGCCTCTGCCTCCATGAGGACACAGGGCAGGAGTTTTCCTGGGGACAGGGCAATACAATACCCACAACTTCGTTTTTCCAAATTATAAAACATTCTTTCCAGGAACTGTTCCATTTCCAATAATTACATGAACCTGGCCTCTTCTTTTTCTAATTACCATGAAAGAGCTGGATTCAGCCCTGCTTAGAACTTCTCTAACAGAAAGTCACGGTTAGACACTTCAGGGATCACAGGGTGAGGCGAGAATCATCTTGAACTGGGAGGAAAAGCTTGTGGAAGGAAGAAGAGGGACAGGGGTGTTCTCTGGGGCTTGGAGAGACCAAACTCTCCTCACAGGGAGGCAGGCAAGGAAGAAGCTCACCAACCAGAAGCCCAGAATGCAGGCTGAGTGTGGACGGAGTGTGAGCCCAGCCCCCAAGGCCCAGATACCCCATATCTGGGTGCCAGCCACTTTTAACAATATCACAGCCCCATCTCCTGAGAGGAGGACTTGGTGGGCACTGCCAGCTGAAGAGATGGCAGGGGAATTGGGCACAGGAACTACCTGAAGTGTGCAGGGTAGAGGGAGAAGCAAGGGAAGGAAGAGCTGGTCCTTGCTTCCTCCCCAAGCCCCATAGTGAGGATGCTGAGCTGCCCCCAGTCCCTCCCACCCCTTGCTGTCTGGACTGTCCAGGATGTGAGGTCTCTAAGTGGGTGTTGGAAGAAACAACTTATTTGGGGCTTGGGTGGGGTAGCACACTGGTGCCTCAAAGAAGCAGCCTCTTCACACCAGCTAGTTAGGGATTAGGTTTCCTGCTGGGCTAGAATGTGCTTCTGATCCTGGGTGAGGGCAAGCCCTTTTCTTTTCACACTTCTGCCCATGCAAGTTCTCGGAGTTTCCCAGTGTGGGGATGTGTCTGTGGTGGCTTGTTCCAGGTGGTGTGGTTGGTTTCAAAGTTGGTGGAAATATTTGCCTGTTGTGGAGATGTTTATATCCTCATTGTGGGGTGTGTCTGTGTGCTCAGAGGCCCTCCTCCCTCCTTGAAACCCTCGCCTACATCCACCAATATGTGTATGGTTGTTTTTTGGGGGTTTGTTTTCAGTATCAGTATTTGCTTGTTTCACTTTCTCTCCTCTCTATCTGAAATTTGGGCATTTTGGAATGTTCCCTGACCACAGATGCCACCAAATTCTCCTGAATGCACATTGAGCGCTGATCTCTCACCCCTCCTGCTGATTTCCATATCTAATTGACTCTGGACCTGTGCCCTGTACTTGTTGGAGGATTAAAATTTTTATGTGAACTTTGACCTATGTTTTCCCCTATTGGAAGGCTTGGGTAGGTGGAGTTAAGAAAAACAATAAAACTCAAAAGCTAAATAAAAGAAGCTGGACATCCGGCAAGCAACGCACAACACTTCTGGACAGAACGATGAGTTGGGTGAGTCCCCAGAGAGGGTTTTGAAGCTTTCATTTAAAAAGCAACAGTGACAGTCTGTTAGCATGAATATGTGTGCTGTCCTTATTGGCTCCAGCTCAGGTGTAGAGGGGACAGGAAGGGAGAGGGGCAGGTGGGCTGCAGGTCTGGGGCTCTCACACAGCAGGAAAGGAACCATGGTTGGGTCCAAGGGCCCAGAGGCTTCCCTGCCTCAGCTGCTGTGTGGGGTTTGGTCTCCTGAGTGCTGGCTGCCTCCTGGCACCTCGCTGAAGGCTTGGCTTTTACCCAAACCAGGCTTCAAGAAACAGGTTGTAAAGGAGGAAACAGGGAGTGAGATTCCAGTTAAGTCAGAGTGGGGAGTGTCCACAGGCTGAGAAGGATTTAAATTCCAAACCTTTTGTTCTGTTTTTTATTTTAATTAATTCCACAATCATATGGGAATGTATTTGCCTTGTTTAAAAAACCAAAAGCAGAAAATCAAAGGGAGACCAACAGAAAAAAGGGACGAAGGTGTGGGAGGAGGGGAGTGAGGGGGAGAGGTTAGGGAGTGATATCAGCCAAAATATATTGCAATATTGCGTGCACGTGTGTATAGGCAACAAAATGCTCATCATTATGTACAAGTGTTGTGCACCGTAAGAAGATGTGGAAAGAGAATTTAAGAAGAAAGAAAGGAAGGAAGGAAGGAAGGAAGGAAGGAAGGAAGGAAGGAAGGAAGGAAGGAAAGAAGAAAGAAATCCAAAGCAAAGTCGAAGCCATGAGCAAGAAGGATGGAAGCCCTTCTCCCAGGCTCCCTGCTTCCCCTCAAGCAGCTTGGGGTGCGCTCTGCCACATATGTTTCTGTGCATTTGCACATGTATACAGCCACCTTATAAGTATCCGTTTGTAGCTTTAGGTTTTGTTGTAGTTTTTAATTGGGTTCCCTGAGGACGGTTCATCTAAGACATCATTCTATCTTTCCTTTCACTTATATGTGTTTACTAGAACCACTGTGGTGTGCTTCAGTACATGTGTGGGTTTTTTTTTTTTTCCAGTACTAGCGATTGAAAGCAGGACCTTGTGCAAGCTAGGCAAGTGCTCTACCACTGAGCTATATCCCCAGACCTTTTAAAATCTTCAATATGAGGCCACATATCCCTAGATTACGAGGCTAGCCACAGACTTGTGATGCTCCTGTCCCAGCCTCCAAAGTCACTGGGATTCCAGCCATGCCTGACCACTGCTGGCAGTTAGTATCTTTCTGATGCTTCAATCGGCCCACCTTGGGTCAAGCTGACTCCTGATCCTTGCTGCCAAGGACTTGAACTCCCAGGAGATCTCCCACCACCTCCAGGCAGCTGCACCCTCACTTCTCTCTGCAGCAGCTCAGCTCCCTGGCAGGGCGCACTGGGCCCACAGGCTGGGCTGGGGAGGGGTGCTGGTTGCCTCAGAGTGTCCCAGAAATGCAACTCGCTCATGTGAACTTCAGAAGAGAACCCCTCCCCCTCTGACTCCCACCACATCCTGCCTTTCTTTTCTTGATTTTGGCCTGGAGCCCAGATTTAAGCTTCCCCAGCTTGTCTGAAACCTTCTGGGATTGTTCAGGCAAAAATGTTGGAAACCCTGAGATCTCGGTTTCCATCTGGCTCTTCTGCTCTCTAGGAAAGTTCCCTAACTGTGCTGAGACCCATTCTCCTCATCTATCCAGGAGGGTGGTGGTAGTTATTGCTCGAAGGATGATGAACAGTGGGGGTCAAGTGTTCTGCAGTGTTTGGCAGGTTGGGCTCTGTACGTGGGTGCTCTGTAACTCACAATGATCACTGAGGCCCAGGCACATGGTTGGTGGCCCTTAACAAGGTGATTTTGCATCTTTGGGAATCATATCAGCATTTGCTGCTACAAACATGCTCTGTGCATAAAATGTGCTCTCTGCAGCTGGTGCACATCACTGCCCCACACTCCTGTGCAGCAGACCGACTGCCATCTTCCCTCAATGTCACCCTTCCCATCTCCTTGTCCTGGAGCACCTTTCTAGGCTCACAAACATAATGTAACCGGAGAGGGGAGGCTTCCCACCAGTGAAAGGAGAGGTGTCTCTTCTTTGATTCCTACAAGTGATGAGCAGAGGGATTCTGTAGGCTAGAGCTGGGGCTTCCTGCAGGTCAGCTTCTACAACATTCCATAAAAGCCCCCCCCCCCCCCCAATCTGTGTCTTGTTTTTCTGTTACAGAACAGAACACAACCAAAACTTGGAGACCTAATTGAAATTTCTCGCTTTGGCTATGAGCACTGGGCCATCTATGTGGGAAATGGCTATGTGGTCCATCTGGCTCCACCAAGTACGTAAGGTTTCTCTATTAAAAACACAAGGGCTGAGATCAAGAGTATGTACACAGGCACAGTTATGTGCTGGTCCTCACTCTGCCTGGCACAGCAGGTGCTCAATCAGCATTTACTAAGTGAATCATGCTCTTTCCCTCTGGCCTATATTTCCTGATATTTCTCCTTATCAGTGAGTGCAGGGAGAGAACATTGACCTGTTTCCATTTTAGAGTGCGTTTCAGTCTCAGTTGGTCACCTTTGGTTGATGAGCATCCCTCCAAAGGTCCAATACCCTGTGTCTGTGGCGTTCTGCAAGGTCAAACAACAGCGGAAGAAATTAATGCTTCCAAGAGTTTATACCTGGCTGCAGAGTGCAATGGACAGGTGTGGGCCTCTAACCTCCCCAGGGCCAGTCTGGAATCCCGGCTCTTGGGCCTCCTTTGTGACTTGAGCATTCGGCTTATCGTCACTCAACTTAGCTTCTCCTCAGAAGAGCAGGGATAGGGATTCCTGTCTCCCAGGCCGTGAGGGAGAGAAATGAAGGAGGGCAGGAAGAGCCTGTGCAGGGCCTGGCCAGGTGTGGGGCCTCCTCCCTCTCTGTCCCAGCATCATGGCTTTAAGGGACACGCGGACATTGTGGAAACCCCACTCACCTGCACACAGAGGAACATTGTCCAGTCCTTCAAATCACTAGGAGAGCTGGTGTGGACATGCACCTGCGTGCACATAAGGAAGTCAGTCGAGTGAGAGACATTGAGACCTTCTGTGGCACCTACAGCAGCTCACAAACTCAGAGACTTTGAACAGAAAATGACAAAGAGCTCAGCTCACAGCAGTGCTCACACTCAGCTGTTAAAGCGTCATTGAGGGAGTGCATTTGTCCCTGAGCCTGGCCACTAGGAACCTGCTCTCCTTAGGCTGTGCTGCTGCGGGTGCTCCCTGGTTGGTGTCCAACCCCTGGGACAGCAGCAAAGTCCTGCTCACAGCCGGAGAGGGAGTTCTGTCTGGGCTAGAGCTGGCTCTGGGGAAATCAGGACAGTGTCCAGTTTGGGCTGCATGAGGTGGGCCCTTTGTTCTTGTTGGTTTGTTTGTTTGGTTGAAGCCCTGGGGGTTGAACCCAGGGTGCTCTAACCATGAGCTCTACCCCAGCCCTTTTAAAATTTTATTTTGAGTCAGGGTCTCACTGTGTTGCTTGGGTTGGCCTTAGAATGGCCTCCTCCTGCCTCAGCCTCCTGAGTGTCTGGGATTAGAGGCAGGTGCCCCATACGGTGCCTGACTATGGAGTTTTGGTCTACATTCAGTCTGCTGCCTCCTTTCTATTTCTGTTTAACAATCCCTTCTGTTGGTCAGTCTCTCAGTTGGACCAGCAGTGGGACTAATCCCCAAGATTACTCTTTGTCTTCTGATGCTTGTCCTTCAGGGGACCTCATAGATAGTAAACCAGGACTCAGCAGATCCTTCACATGGTTTTTGTGAATACAGTTTTGGTGGCTTAGTGCTCATAGAAGTCATCCGAAGAGCATGTGGTTGCTGACAAAGTTCATGTCTCTTGAGGATACACCACATGTAGGGAGTGTTGTTACTGCAACTAGGTAAGAATAATACCAAGGGCCTGGAGGGCATTCCAAAAACAGGTGTCCAGGAGCCCAGAGTTAACTAATTGATTTGGGAGGTGTGTCCACTGATCACATCTCCTTGGTCACATGAGGTACCTGGATCCATCCTTTAGATCTTTAAGATTCTGGGCTACAACCCTGGGTTTATTATCTTAGAAGCAACATTTTGCCCAATAAGTGCTTTGATTCCTTCCATTGAGCAGTTAGTCGATCAAGGACCCTTTCGTTATGGAGTATTGAAGCTAAACTGCTTATGTCAGTCTGCTTTCCTTGAAGAGAATTTAATGTATCATGAGAACTTGTTTCAGGCCTTGTAGAAATATAGGTCATGGATTTTTCTAATTTAGAGACTCCCATTAGAGTCTTATGCTCCCATTAGAGCACAAGAGCTGGGGTTCCAGACTGGTCCTGGGAGTGCTAACAGGGTTTGCTAAAAAACAAAACAAAACAAAACAAATAAAACCAACATACAGAGTTTCTCTTCATAATCATCTTTGGAAGTTCTTGAAAAATTCACTTATGGAGGAATATTTCATGCACAATGATCTCAAGGTGAGAATTTGTTTGGCATTTCTAATTTGTATGTTGTTATTGGGGGTGAGAAATATCCCAGGCTGCAGCATCCAGATCCCTTGGATTGGAAATATTTGTATATCTTATTACCACAAATAATGAATAATCCAACATGAAAGAGACACACAGAGAGAGAAGGAGAGAGCAAAAGAGAGTGTATTTACAGGTGGATCCCATTACCCACCACCAAGTGTATTAGGAATATCGTGATTATTCTTGGCATCTTGGCATTGGCACAATGTCAGTTTGAACAGCAGTGAGTTAAACCAGGGTAAAAGCATAATACATTTTTATAATCTTTATAAAAATGTTCCACGAATTCTATACCCCAACAAAATATGATTAATTCCTTCTCCAGACATGCCCTGAATATCGGTCTGTACCGTGTGCACACCGGCCCTCTGTCTCATATAATGCTACTACAGAAACACTCCATGTACTCACAGAGATTCTATTGATTTCAACTATGGTTTCAGCGAGTTTCTTAGTAGCATATTTGAAGGTATCATTTTCATTTTCTAATTTTAGTTCTGAATCATTCAACACTGGACTCCAGGACCTCCCATGTGAATCATATGAAAGGAATGAATGATAGAGCAAATCCAGAATGAGTCAGGCCCCAGCACATTAAGATTTCCCAGGTAGAGGGGACGGACAGTGAAAGCATTGCAGCCGTCCTGAGCCACCCCTGGGTGGAGGGCTGCTTACAGCACTGTTCCAGCTGGGAATGAGCGCTGGGGGCTGGGGGAAGACGCTGTCCAGGGGAGGAGGACAAAACTTTCTGAAAACCACTTACTCTCCAAATTTGGCACTGAGGCTTTCTGGCTTGGGGCTAGCTCTGAGCTACTGTGGCCCTGCCAAGGCCTGAGTCCACTGTTTCCACAGGTGAAGTGGCAGGAGCTGGTGTGAGCAGCATCATGTCCATCGTGGCTGAAAGAGCCATAGTGAAGAAGGAGCTGCTGTCTGTGGTGGCTGGAGGGGACAAGTACCGGATCAATAACAAGCACGATGACAAGTATGACCCACTGCCACTCAACAAAATTGTCAAGGAGGCAGAGAAAATGGTGGGGAAGGAAGTCCCTTATTCATTGACAAGTGACAACTGTGAGCACTTTGTGAACGCGCTGCGCTATGGAGTTTCCCGCAGTGACCAGGTGTGTCCTCAGCCTGTGTCCCCTTCCCTGCGATCAGATCATTCCCCAGTAATAAGGGGTGGGCACCTGCTGAGGGCTGGCAGTGCAACCTGAGTTGGAGATTGCCTGGGAGTGGGGGTCAGGGAAGCTGGCAGAGTGAGCAGTGGGGTCCAGGAGAAGGGGACTCTGGTCATGTTGTGTCCATTTTTTTATGCACAAGGTCAACAGGAACACTTCAGCTTTCTTGGGCCAGCTGGTTCCTCTCCTTACTCTGCCAGGGTCACTCTGTAGCCTGAGAGCAGCCATTGACTCTGTGTAAACCAACAGGCAAAGCTGTGTTCCAAAAATCTTGATTTCTTTTCATTTATTTATTTTTGTAGAAACATATGGCAGGCTAGATTTGACCAGTGGGTCAAGGCTTGGTTTAGCAAGTCTTGGTTTAAAAGGACTTGAAGTGCTGGGGCTGTAAGTCAATGGTAGAGCACTTGCCTAGAGTTTCTGAGACCCTGAGATCAATTCCCAGCACCATACACACAAAAAAACTTAGACAAATTATGTTATACATTTTTAGTTGAAAATCAAACATTTCAAAAATCATGAATATGAAAAATTTGTGAAGGATGGATTTTTTTTTTGCATTTTGCACCCCTGATTTCAGTACAGATTTTCTTGAAAACCTTGGTATTGCAAAATTAGTTTATTTAACGAATGAAAAATGTCTTTGAGGTATTTTAAATAGTCAAGCCAGGTGTTATGGTAAAACTGTCAGTCAAATCAGATCACTTTTTTAGTCAAAAACTGACAATTTGCCAGGCACATTAGTGTGCACCTTTAATCCCAGAAGCTCAGGAAGATGAGGCAGGAGGATTACAAGTTCAAAGTCAGCAACTTAGTGAGTACCTGAGCCACTTAGTGAGACGCTGTCTCTAAATAAAATATAAAAAAGAGCTGGGGATGTGGCTTAGTGGTTAAGTGCCTCCGGATTCAATCCCTAGTACCAAAAACAAAAACAAAGAAACAAACAAAAATACGCTGACAATTTTTCAGTTGAATTGAAGGTGTTAATGCTCATGGCCATGATGCCACCTCACTTTAGAATTCTAATCTCAGTGGGAGATGGACCTGGTAGAGGGCCTCCCTCCACACGGCTGCTTTGCTTCTGGAGGCCTCTTGTTGGGGAGCTCTGTGTTCTTGAATTTTCCCCCTTGGCGTCCAGGGATGTTTGAACCTTGGCCTGTGCCCCACAATTCAGGAGGGCAGGGGTTGGCTCTCCTTTGGTAAGGTAGGAGAAAGGCTGTGGTAAGGAAGGGAGGGAGGTGGGCAGGGAAAATCCATCCCTTCTGGAAGAGAGGGCCCCAGGCTGGAGCCCAGGCTGGTAACTGAGAACTGCTCCTCAGCTCTGAGCACTGGGGCGAGACCTGCTTTGTTGCTGTGACCTTGCTGAATGGGTCCCCCTCCTGTTAGCTGGGGAGGGTTGATGTGTGTCTGGCCTAGGGGTGGCTGCTCAAGGGTATGGTGTGGTGGGTTGCTTTGTCATGTATCTAAAACCACTTCCAAAGTTGCAGGAAAGCCCCAAGGATCAATTTTACCTCTGGGTGTTTTAGGGGTGGTTGGCTCTCTGCTGTGCTTCTGAGGGTTCAACTTAAGCAAGGCTGGGGTACTCAGTGGTGGCTGTTCCATTTAGTTTCTCCCTGGCCTGGGGTCCCTCTTTGGGAACCTCTTCTTCAGGTATCTCAGTGACTCACCTGTCTTCTCCCTCTCACTCCTTCCTTCCCTTCTGCCTTTTCTCCATAGGAAGCTCCTCCTCTGCCTGTCTCCAACTCACTTTCTCCTTCTCTGTACACAGTGTGCTGTGAGCCCTGCAGAACTCTGGGCCCCTAGTGACTCTGCCCACATTTTGTACTGATAGACCACTAAAGTATAACATGGCCCCTGGAACATGAATTTCTGTCCCTAGAAAGTTCCCAATCCCCTTTCATATGACTGCTTGAGAAAGTTCACCTGTCAAGGGAATGCGCTATTTTTTTTCCCAAACAACAGCAGATGATAGACCCAAGACTTCTCTGTCTTACTGCATTTACTAAAATGGGCTTATAATTATGCATCCTTCCTCTGACTCTGTGAGACTCAGATTGATAGACAGGAAGATCACATAAACATAGATAGAGACCTTATTATTCAGAAGTGTCTTTCTCCAGGGTCTGAGAGGGATGCCTTTGGAATGTACTCATCAGAAAACCAGGGCCTCCTGCCGTCTCCACAGGACGGTACAATCCTAACCCATTAGTTGCAGGGAGCACACTCAGCCGGCCTCACTGCATTTACAGGGACCTCCCTTCATCATTTTTCACCTGACTCTAGCGACCCCCATTTGCCCACCCCTGATCCTTCATCTTCATCTCCCTTTGAAACACCTATCACCTCTGCACCATATACAACAGAGCCCTGCTCACTGCCAGTGGTGACTGAATGAAGTCTGAGGTCACCGCTTTGTCTGAGGTCCAGCTTCATTTCTCCTTAGCATCTGGAGGTGATCGAGTGTCTGTAGATAAGACAGTGCACTGTTGCCCTTTCTCTTCCCCCGCCTGCACATGGTGCATTCCCCAGAAATCTCTTCTCGCATCACTGATTTTAGTTTCCTTCCCTGGCTGTGAAAGACATAAGCAGAGCTGAGCCTGGTCACTTGCCAGCTGTGTGGTTTGAGTGAGGTCTCTCCACTGGCCACCTCAGTTGTCACCAGCTGGAAGGTAGGGATTAGAATGCCAGCCTCACGGGGTTGTTGAGGGAGGTGAGAAAATTATAGCAGTTGGACAATGACCAGCACAGGACAGTGAACTGGAAACAGCCATTATTATGGTGTGGCCCCCTCTGCCTGAGTTCCACCTGTGTGCAAAATGGCCCCGGGGTGGTGGTTGGCCATGTCAGTCAGCTCACGCCACCTGTGCTGAAGCAGCAACCATCAAGGTCCCCCTCACGTCCCCACTCTGTCCTTCAGCAGGACCCCTTCCCTCTCACACACAAGCAAGGCCTCTCACTGCACAAAAGCCTGTCCTCAGCGCTGCTCCCAGTCCACCATTTGCTCAGCAGCTAAGTCACCAGGGTCCACCTGTGCAAGGCAGTGGGCTGAGCACCAGGGACACCAAGAACACCTAGGTGGGTCCCTGTCCTCAAGCCCTGGGCAGTGGGAGTTCACAGGGGTCACTTCCCAACTTGGCACCTGCTTCAAGGCTCCCAATCGGCCACCCCTGACCTAGAACATCTGAGCCCTGCCACTCTGTCCTTCCCACAGCCACCCCATGGGTTTATCATGCTTTAAACACCTCTAGGCTGCATCTTGCTTTCCTCCTTTGAGACTCCCTTTTCATACTGAGACTCAGTCCTGCATTCATTCCTTCCTGACAGGGACCTCCTGTCCTCTTTCCTGGGTGGCCTGACCTTTTGGGATCCCCCCTCCCTGCCAATAGTTGTTTCCTCTGTGATGTGGTGACAAGGACAGGGAGCATGTTCCTTGTCCAAGGAATCTGCAGCCCAGGAAAGAGGTTCCTTGGACAAGGATCTCTGCTCAGACTCCTGATGTGACCCTGCCCCCTTGTCTTCTGTTGCAGGTGACTGACACACTCACTGCGATTGGTACTGCATCTGTTGTCCTGGGTGTTTTGGGCCTCATTGGGATGGCGGTCACCAGAAGCAAGCGGGAAAAGCAGTAAATGCAAGGCTTTATCTTGGCGGCACCAGTTACCTTGGGGGAGTTTGATCAAGCCGGTGGGAATGATTTGGTTTATAGATTTCACTCTTTTGTAATCATGAGCACTTGGTTTAGTGGAGCTCAATCAAAGCATAGGAAGCTGTTATCTGAAGGAAACGCTGGCTGCATGGCATCAATTCTATTAAAGAGCTGATTGCACAATGTCATGGCCTCAATGTGTGTGTTCCCACCCACCCCAAATTCATATGTTGATGCCCTAGCTCCCAATGTGGTAGGGGGTGGAGGGGCCACTAGGTTTAGAGAAGGTGGTGAGGGTAGGGCCCCTCTAGCAGGTTTAGTGTCCTTCTATGAAGAGAGACTGAGAAACTGATATGACTCTATTTTTGAAAATAAATAAATAACAGCAGCTTCTACCTCAAGGCCTGTCCTAAGGAAGGGAGCGTGACCCTTGTCCTTGGAAAATCCCACAGAGCCTTTCTAGGTACATACCCACCTTGCTGAGTTGTTTGTAAATAACAGGAGAGATCTAAGGCATCAGGGGTCCCTGACTTAGTTAGGCTAGATGAGGACCCATAGCAATCCCCCTAGAAACCTCCAATCAGTATGAGACAGCGAAAATACCGGGGATGCCAGATGACCCCCCAATAGTTTATGGTGGTAGATAACATGTTGGGAAACCATGTAGTTTAGCATGTATACCCCTCATGGCTTAAACCAATCAGTTCAAAGGAACCCCCCTCTTGTACTAACCAATCACCCCTAACCAACTAGTTCCCGCCAGTGAATGTGCTAATCAATGTTAAGAGTTGTTGTTTGACTTTCCCGTGGTATGGAATGATTTGCTGTGTGATGTTGTGACGCATAGAGTACCCCCCAAAACCTATAAATCTCACTGAACAAAGGGTCAGGACTCACTCCCTGGGACCGCTTCTGCGTTGGGAACGGTTGTGAGTTAAGGCTCGAGCTTGCAATAAAGACCCTTGTGTGATTGCATCGGATTTGGCTCCTGGAGGTCTATTGGGATCCCACAAATCTGGCATTACAAGACCAGAGCTCTCTTTCCCTCCCTCTGCCATGTGTGGGCCCTAGTGAGAAGGGACCAACTGCCTGCCAGGAAGAAGGTGTCTAGACACCATGTCTGCAGCACCTTGATCTTGGATTTCTCAGGTGCTGTGGCTTCAATTTAGTCTGTGCCTTCCAAGTCCATGTTCTAATACAGTTCCGCTGAGGACATATGACAAGGTGGGACCAGGGCTGGCGGGCACTGGTCCTGCCGGCAGGCGGCAGGCGTGAGAAGTTACCGGGAAAGGCGGCTGGTGGCTGTGTAGCTGGGTGCTCAGCTAGGGTGGCTCTTCCTGCGCTGTCCTGGGGCGTCCTCGGGTGGAATGGCTGCTGGGAGAGGCTGTGCTCCAGCCCCCCGCGCTCCCTCCACTGCAGAGCCGGCTTGCTGGCCCGTCGGAGCGTTGGGCTGAGAAGCTGAGTGTGGGGACTGGGGGCTATTTCGTCCCCTCCGACTCCACAGCTCCCAGTGAAGCGGATGGAAGAGGCTGTGGAGCCGCGGTCGCTGCTCTGGGACGCCGCTACCTTCCTGGCGTTTAGGTCACCCGTGTCCTCACAAGCCCCCCTTTTCTGCATGCTTCCCGAGTCCTCTGGCCCAGGAGCGCCCATGGGAGGAGTTGGCCTTGGAGAGAAGGACCCATCTCTAGGGACCATTTGGAGAGAGCCTGCGCTGCTCCTCCCAAGGGCAAAGACCTACCTCCTGCTTTTCTAGCTGCCTGCAGTCGGGGACTCCGGAGTGGGGAAGCCCCGTGTCCTTTTTTTCCTTTTTCTGTGATGACTTCTTACTACCTTTATGGCCTAGACTTTAAGATCAAACCCGTTGAATCACAAGGTAAGAAGGTCAAGCAGCAGAGGGGATGCAGCAGGTCAGGAGGAGTATGTGACATCGCCAATGGGAGATGTTTTGCAAACATCAGGAGGTGGCTTGGAAACACAGATGGCAGGCCAATGAACACGCGGGCAGAATGTTGCTAGGAAACAAATTGTGAGAAATAGAGTCTGATGTCCCTTTTCAGAATACAGTATTTAGCCTTAATTGGGATGTCAGATCCAATGATAGTCATTTTAACAATCGTCCTTCCCTTTGCCCGCCCCATTTTTAAAATTAGACAGTCACCTAGTCTGTAACCCGGGGCTCCTCCTATCAGATCAAGGGGGCGGTGCTTGCTGCGTTAGGGATTAAAAACCATGCGTTAGGGATTAAAAACCCGCGCACTGCCTGCGCAGTGTGCTCCCTGGCTGGTCAGGTTCGGAAGCGCATGGTTCTGCAGAAGTAATAGTTGGCCTTGAGGCGCTACTTCCCAGCGCACTCGTTTGATTCCTTGCTCCTGGGTATTTCTAATAAAGGGTGCTGAGAAAGATAAAAGAGTAGTACTTAAAGGAGTACAGATGGCAAAGGAGCCTGGTATTAGATTTTTTTTGGGAGACTATTAGAAACGCAAATATAAATATTGAAAAGCGTTCCTTACCTTAGCTGAAGAGATCTGTCTAAAGGCCGCGGTAAAAGAGCACAATAGTGAAAATGTAGATTCTCAGCAGAGGAGGTGTGACAGGTGCAAGAGCAAAGGTTGCAGTCTTCTCCTGCTCCCCCTGTTGCCACTTGCCACCCCTTTCTTTTCTTGCTACAAAATTAACCACTCTGTCCATTTTAAACTCTGTTAAACAGACATTTTTGTTCCCAGCATAACTATTCAATCTACCTATTTTATTTGTTCTTCCATGTGTGACTGCTTGCTGACTTTAGTATAATTTTCTTCAAAAAATGAATAGAAAAGTCATGTGTGTGACTTCATTTTTAAATGTCCTTGCTCAGCCCACCACTGCATTTCAGCTGTATCATTGTCCAGTTCTTACCAACATCCAAACCTGTGTAGGTAAATGGACGGAACTGGAGACTATCATGCTAAGTGAAATAAGCCAGTCCACCAAAGTCAAAGGTCAAATGTTTTCTCTGATATGTGGAAGCTAATCCAAAATGTAGGGGGACAGGTTAAAAAAAAAGAATAGAAGAAAGACCAGAGGAGAAGACAAAGGGGAATGAAAGAAAGGAAAGAGTAGGGAAAGACAGTGGAATGAATCTGACCTAACTTTCTTATGTACATATATGAATATACCACAGTGAATCTCACCATCATGTACATCCACAAGACACATAATTAAAAAAACAAACAAAAACTAGGGCTGGGGCTGTAGCTCGGTGGTAGAGCGCTTGCCTAGCATGTGTGAGGCATTGGGTTTGATCCTCAGCACCGCATATAAATAAATACTAAAATAAAGGTATAAAAAAGCCAACATTATTAAAAAAAAGATCAATAGAGTAGAGGGAAGGGAACGGGGTGGGAGGAAAGGAAGGGAAGGGGAAATACTGGGGACTGAATTAGAACAAGTTACATTCCCTGCTTTTATAATTGTGTCATAGTATAGTCTATTGTTATATGTAACTAAAAAAATTGAAAAAAAAAAAAAAACCTATGTAGCAAGGAACATGGGGTTGAATTCTTTGGACACAAGGTGAGTGCAAAGTAACAGGATTTATTTGAGTAATAGAAAGAAAGAGGAGCTCTCAAAGGATGAGGGGTCCCAAGAGAGGGTACTGGAGATGGCTGTTGTCTAGGGGTTTATATGAATCTTCAGGATTAAGAAAGCTAGTTCCATACCCAATCCTAGGTAAGGTGCTCAGACTTTGTGAGATCTTCATGCACTTTTTAGTCCAATCAAGTTACCATGCCCCCCCCCCCCTTTTGGTGGGAGTTTAGGTACCAGGGAATGGATGTGTCATTATCAGTTTTTCTGCTTACATGGGAGTCAGTTTGACCTTGAAATGGCCTGGCTTGGGTCTGTAGTTTCTCAACCCTGCTACACAGGAACCTGACCTTGAAGGAACCCAAGTTTCTGCCTAGCCCAGGGATAATGTGCTTGAGTCCCTATAATCTATGGATGTGTGATAGCAAGAGCCCAAAGCCAGGAAAACACTCATTTTTGCCTTGACGAGGTAAATGGGGCCAGTTTTGTCCTGTGCCTTATGTGGAAAGGAACTCTTTGGGTTTTCCGTTTTTGTTCTGGTGGAAGCACGTGCAGGAGACGTCATCCAAACATAAACCATAAAAATGTGTGAGGTTGGTTTGACTGTAATTTTCACAGTAGTTAATAGAAGACAAAGGGTAATGCGGAAATGGTGACTTTGGTTTGCTGAGTCCTATCTTCCGTGGCCTTGATATTGAAAACTTTACCTGCCACCAGTTCTTCTCCTTGGCCACTTTTTCCTTGTCTGTCGTCTTCCTGAATGCTGCTTTATTTGGTTTCCCTCCCCCACCACCTCTTGGTATGAGTGACTTAAAATTAAAGAGGCACACTAGTAGATTTGTCCAGTTTAACATAAAGCATTGCTGTAATTTGCAAAGTAAACGGAAAGATAGATTCTCACTGCCAACCATCAAATGTCACTTAATTGCTATCTTCCCTTCATATACCTTCTCCTCTAAAACCTCTGTCCCAGATTCCTTCACTGGCTGTTTGACTTTTTATTTTTGGTACCAGGGATAGAATACAGGGGCACTTAATCCCTGAGCCACAGGGTTCTCACTAAGTTACTTAGGGCTTCGCTAAGTTGTTGAGGCTGGCTTTGAATTTAGGATCCTTCTGCCTCAGCCTCCTGAGGCACTGGGATTACAGGTGTGTGTCACCGAGCTTGGTGCCTGTTTACTTCTGTGTACCTCTTCTGCACTTTGTTCTCTTCCTGCCGATCCATTTCTATGAAATGCAAGCATTAACTGCATGCACTAGTGTTGGAAGGTGTTATGGTTTGTCTTTCTCATTAGGTATAGATCCTGTTCACTCTCCTACAATCACTCTCTTAATCTAAAGATGCACTAGTCTCCATGTGGGCAACTCCTCTGGCAGTTTGCTAACAAGTAAAGATTATTTTTTTTAAGGCAGGTAAGAGGAGTGGGTTTTATAAACATGTTTGCCAAATGTATTGAGATTTGTCCTCTAAAGGACAACTTTTCTGTGTTAAGTTGTCTTTACCTTAAGATTTAGAAATACTTTAAAGTTCTGGTAGCCTGAGTCTGTTGCCACCCACTGAGATAAATCAAGCTGAGTCATCGTGGCTCACACATAGAAATATTTGGCAAATAATGATACCCAACCCACTGTAGAATCTGAATGAGTTCATGTTAGCTAGGGCCCTAAACCTCACCCTTGGTTAATAGTGAAAGCACGTTTCAGATCAATTTTCACGGAACACATAGGGATTTATTAAACAGGTGATCATTAAGGAGGCACTGGGCTGTTTGTCCACCCTGTCCTGGAAGCCAAATGAAGATATGTCCTCTTGCCTTTTGGGCGCTGTGTCCATGCCTTGCATGAAAGCTCTACTCCAGGCAGGCTTTCCTTGCTCATATGTCAGCATTGGGCAACTTGAAATTCAACCCAGAGGCTGACCACAACAGGTGCACTCAGGTGCCATTCCTTAAGACACAGGCTCAGGCCCCTCTCTCCCATTCTGTTTCTGCAGGGGTGGGGAGGTATTATGGTTTAGACATGGAGTGACCCCTGAGCCTCATGGGTTGAAGGCTTGGCCCTTAATGTGGCAGTGTTCAGAGGTGGAGCTTTTGGGAAGTGCCTGGATCATGAGGACTCTGTCCTCATCAGTGGATTAATCCATTGATAGCTGAATGGACTACTGGGAAGCCGTGGAAGCAGCAGGAGGTGGCATCTAATTTAGGGAAGCAGGCATAGGAAGCATGCCCTAGAAGGGTATTTCTTGTCCTCAGCCCCTTCCAGTTTGTTCTCTCTCTTTCTCCATCCTGGCTGCCACGCGCTGAGCAGCTTCCCTCCACCATGCCTTCTGCTATGATTCTGTGGCTCAGCTTAGGCCCAAAGCAATGAAATCGGCTGGTCCTGGACTAAAACCTCTGACACCATGATCCAAAATGTATCCTTCTTCCAGTTGTTTTTCTCAGTTATTTGTCACCAAAATGAAAAGCTGACGAATCCATAAAACCGGCACTGGGAGTGGGGCTGTAGCTGTGATTATGCCATGGCCATGTGGTTCAGAACCTCTGGAACTACTTTGCAGACCTTTGGAAAAGTTTGAAGATGCAGGCTAAAGACCTTAGATTGTTGTAAGCCGAGCTTAATGGGCTATTCTGGTGTGATCTCAAAAGACCTGAATGCCAACAGGAATGTAAATAATAAGACTGTGCTCCTCAGGTTTCAGGTGGGAATGAAGACTCTACTGGAAATTCGACTCAAGGTCCCATGAGTTACATTCTGGCACAAAATTTGAGACTTTTACTGAGACTTCATTTAAAATTGATGGACTAATTTCAAGGCAGTACAGGGGAAATTTCAAGGCAGTACAGCCTTCAGACTGTGACATGGGTATACCTGGTGGCTAAAATCTGAAATGTTTGAGATATTTGCAGTTTGGCCAGAAAAGTGCATGTAAAAAATCATGGCCAAGGAAGGTCTGATTACCCAAGAGATTAACACTATTGCACCCAGATAATAGGAAAGATGCCTTGAGGGCATCTCAGGAATCCTGAAGAGCCTACCCATCCAGCTCAAAGGTGTAAAAGCACAAACTCATTTGAAAGACTTTGCTTTAGGAAGAGAGTTCATGGTGCACTGCTCCCACAGGGCTACCTTGGAAGTTGTTTTCCCGGGATTCATTTCACCATGATCAGCCATCCAGGAATTCAGAGGTTTCTGCAGCCATGGTCTAAGGGCCCCAGCTACTGCTCCTGCTGGTGGCAAGTGTTGGCACCTTCAATGTGGCACCCATTTTGCAGGCATGAAGAATTATAGGGTAATGGAGGCTTCCACCCAGATTTGAAAGGAAAGTTTGGGAGGTTTGGCAGGGGAAAGGGGGATATGTGAAGCTGTGGAAGTGAAGTTGACGCTGCGACAGAGACCACAGGAAGCTGTATATGCCAGAAATGTGGAACATCTGCAGGCAGTGGGCAGAGTCAGTCCAAGAGAGAGGCCATGTTGGCTGCAGTAGAAGCCAAGTCTCTTGGAATTCACATCTCACCAATGCTGGTCATGGAGCTATAGGATTTAATGTTTGCCCTACAGAGTTTCAATCTTTCTTTGGTAACATCTCTTATTTTTAGAGCCCTATTCTTACACAGATTGCTGATAGACCCAACCTGATCTTTTCTTAAAATTGGGAGCCATCTCGCCACAAAGCCATGAAAAGATAATTTTGGCTTTACTAAAAATTACTGCAAATTCTGAACCTGCTTGGAATGCCTGCCCCTGCCTTGAACTCACCCATGCCTGGCTCTCTGACCAGATACCAGCCCTCTCTGAAACTTTAGTGACGCCTCACAAATCTTGGCCTTCCCTGGCCAGATAACAATCCTTTCTGAGGCTCTAATGACCTTCATAAATTCTGATGTCCGGGCCAGCAAAAATGTAAACTACCATTAGTGTTATGCTCATCAGAGTTCTGTTATCTGTAACTCCCTTGTTTAACTTTCTGGGCTATAAAGCTGGGCTGCAGGAAAGATGCTGCTGCTGTCTTATTCCCGCGGTTTTGGGTGGGAGAGGCAGCTCAGCCGGCCGAAATAAGAAGCTTGCTTTAATTTGATTTTAATTGGAGTCAGTGGTCTTTTCTTGCGTCCTGGTCTAACAGTGCCATTCTATGTTGGAAGTATATAACTTTCTTTTTGATTTTATAGGGGATCACAGTTATGAGTTGCCTTTGGTCTCAGAGGAGACTTTGGACTTGGACTTTTGAATAGTGCTGGAGTATATACTGTTGAGTATTGGGTGACACTTGGAAATGAAATGGATGCATTATGCATTGTTAGATGAATATGAGCCTTTCAGGGACAGGGGAAGAACCTTCTAATTTGGATATGAAGTGTCACCAAAAGATTCATGGGTTAAAGGCTTGGTTCCCAATGCATCAATATTTAGAGGTGGAACTTTTGGGAAGTGATTGGATCATGAGGCCTTTGACTTCATCAATGAATTTTACTCCATTGATAGTTGAATGGACTTCTGGAAGGTGGTGGAAATAGTAGAATGTGGGATGTAATAGAAGGAAGTAGGTTACTGGGGGCATAACCTGGAAGGCTATTTAGGGTTTTCTTGTCCCTCTGTGTGCACTCATCTCTCTCTCTCTTCTCATGGCCCTCAGCTGACAGATTTACTCTACCACGATGTTCTGCCTCACTTCAGGTCAAAAGCAACGGGGTAAACTGGCCAAGGACTGGACATCTGAAACCAGGAGCCAAAATAAATCTTCCCTACCTAAATTATTTTCTTCAGGTATTTGTCACAGCAATAACGATGACACAGGTCTCTAAAATATTTTATGTAGGGCATGATGTAACGTGGGACATGTTGCATCAGAAAAGAGGAAACCTAACTTGCTGGCTGCTACCCGCTTCCCAGTCCTGGGGCCACAGGTGGCTAAGATAACGCCTGGCGATTAGCCAGAAGGCATTGCCGTGGGCTGTGATGAAGAATCGGACCACCTCTAGGATAGGCTCAGAACCCTTCTGCCCTCACGTCTCCCATTACTGCCTGTAGGATGGGTGTAGAAGTAAATTCTCCCCACCCTGCTGACCTTTACCCTGATTGGCTCCTGTACATTATATTAGCTGTATGTGTTTTCTCAATAAATGAGATCATGCTTTGACTGTTCTCCCTGGCGCATCTGATTGTCCTCTGGCGAAGGAGGGCTGGGTATGGCGGCCAGTTGACCTTTACCTTTCTTGGCCGGTCCTGGTCGGGTGTGCTCCCCCAATCTCTCCTGCAGGTCAGGAGGGAACGGGGGCTAAAAACCCCGACAATTTTAGCCAAAGCATGTCCCAATACTAACACTAAAACCATCACTGAGTGGTCATTTCTAGTCTCTGATTATGCTGGTTATCAAGTCCTTAATATTTCCAAGAAAAACTCATCCCCAATATTCAGTGTGCTCACTAGAAAAATATCTGGTGATCAGAGGTAAATACAGTAACCACCCTATTCAGCACAGTGCCCCTCCTGAGGAGATTTCAGGGGGCAATTAGCCTCAATCCTTTTTATTTTTCAGGCACTTGGGAAATGTGCACAGAGACTGAGCATGCTATCTTCTAGAAAAGTCTCAAGGAAAGAGCCTGACTGGTCCTGCCCAGAGAGAAGAACTAAAAGGGAATGTATAAAGGGGGCAACCTGTGGGTGCCAACATCTGCCCTGAGGGTAAGAGGAAATGCTGAGGGGACCCCCCACCTCTGATCTCTTGCTTCCACTCTGACCATCCCTCCTTCAGGATGGGCACAGGCCACTGTGCCTCCCTCGCCTTTGCTAAAACCCTTCAAACCATACTACCCAGCTGTTGAGTAGGATGCTCCCCAAGCAGCTCATTGTCCTATATTACAGAGGAAGGAAGTCAGCCCCAAGGTCGAGCACTTTCCCCAAGGTTACAAAGCTGGAAGTTGCTGGAACCACCCAACAGGTGCTCAGTCAGTTACTTTCCTCCTTTCTGGTTTTCAGACATCACACAGCACAGAAGGATAAACACATTTATTGATTCTCCTTTAGCCATGAGGGAGGGCTAGCGAGAAAGGGGAGGGGCTAAGGGCTGTCATGCAGACAGCGGGGATCAGGAGATCAGAGGAGCTGGTGGGTGGTGAGGTCCGTCTTGACTGGCGTCTCCACAGTCACTTCTGGCACAAGATTTCTGTGGCTGCTTCAAGTTTTCACTGTTTCTTGGTGTCTGCTCCTCAAGAAAAAAAAAATTCCTCTTTAGCTGCGCCCAGGATCCTGAATAACAGAGGGCTATTCTGTCCCCATTATGAGAAGTTCCACCTGCAAAGCAAACAGCTCTTGTAGCATCCTCCTTTACCCTCCCCAAGGACCTGGAGGTCCCGTCATTGTCCTGCTTTCCTGAGGCCCTACTCACTGTCCTGTCTCCCAGGGGAGGGGGACCCACCTCATCTTCTTCTCTCCCTTCCCCTGGTCAGCCCAGATCACTCAGTCCTGAGGTCTCCATTTCCTGAATTATGGCTACTTCTTCATGTTGGGCCTATCTGGGTTCATCCTGATAATGGGCCTATGGAACCCTGGTGAGTCAGTTTCCTGGATCATGATATTTGTTCCTGATTTGAGGCAGAGAGCAAGAGCATTTGTGCCTGGCTTCCTGGGGTCAGAGGTCTGGGGTCAGACTGGAGCCAGTTTTCTAGTCTGGGCTCTACCTGAGCTTTACCCCTGCAGAGAGAGGACCAAGGTAGGAGCTGAAGAGAGACAGAGGAAACCTCAGACACCAGCAGTGCACTGTTCACAAGTGCAGCCGGGAAACTTCTACCTCAGCCCACCTCAGTCCTAACCTCTGACTCCTTTCCACAGCTCCACCTGGATGTCCATGGGACACTTCAAGCATCCTGGAGGTAAACTCTTGGTTTACCTCCCAGATCTGCTCCTCCTGCCATCATATCCATCCCATGAAGGCCTCCAATCCACCCCATGAGTCAGGCCTGGGGTCCTGGAGGTGCCGTAATGTGGCAATAAGAGGCAGCACTCCACTTAGAAACAGCTGGGGTTTGAATGCAGCCTGCCACTTCTTAGCAATGTGTCTAAGGGCAACAAAGTTGAAGGGCTGTGGAGGGGTAAGGAATGGCAGCTGGACACAGATCTTACGTAAAAATGTTCCCTAGCTCTTGCTGTAGATCCATGAGGCTTGAGTACCCCTTGCCTGAGTGCTATTTGGGAGCTCAATAAAAACGACATGCTTCTGGGTATCCCCAGACTCTCTTGAGGATTCACAGGGCTTTAGGAGCTATTTCTGGGGTGTCTCTCAGAGGTGAAGAAGCCCACACCAGAGCTGGCCAGGCCCTCTGAAGTCCTTGATCCATCCTTTCCTCTGCACATGGGAAACTGAGGCCCAGAGGGGGAGGTGACCTCCCTAAAGACCCCCCTGTGGATTAGTAGCAGATCTGGGGTTTGAGAACAGACATCCTGACTCCCAGCCCACAGATCTCGAAAAGAACATGTTTACATCACTCATGGTGATTCTCCCCTCTGGCTACAAAGCCCACTCAGCCCTACCTAAGCACCCGCCCCCTCCAAAAGAGACAGATCACCCACACAGGGTCTTACCTGCTCACTGTGGGACTTGCCAGATCTCAGATGGGTGACAAAGTGCTCACAGTTCCAGCCCAGAACGTTGTACCATATCTCCTTGCCAATCAGCTTCTCAGCATAACTGATGATTTTTTCTGCAGACAGTGGTTGGTACATGTCATCCAAGTAGTTGTTGATCTGATAGGAACAGCCCCGTGCCACATCCTCTAGCTGCTCCCGTTTCACCATTGCCTTGCCTCCCTGGACAGAGAAGGGGCTGGAGGAGCCACCTGTAGGGTTCTTACCTGCAATCAGAGACATGCTCATTGGGAGCTGAAGAGGAAGGTGAGGCACAGAGAGATGCGCGTAAGACAAGAAAGGACAGAAGGAATCTGCTGTTGAGCTTTTGGGTTTATCATTTCACCAATGTGAGTGAAGGACCCACAGATTTTGCTGTTTTTATGTTAATAAGACATGAGAATTTCCTCAAGTCAGTGGACGTTGTGATTGTCAGTGGTGGCCACGGTATTCTACATGAGCAAGTGCATCCTTTGTATGTCCATCCCCTCTTGCTGGTCATGTAGGTATTTGACTATTACAAGTGATGGTGATGAAGTGTTTCTTATTTGGTCATCTTTGTATGCTTGTGTGTTCAGAAGGAGAGCAAATTGGTTTCACTAGTCACCATTTGCCAGATATGATGCTGTGCTGGTTTTTCATACCCGACTAGATTGAATCTCCTTTTTGATTTTCAATGGAAAATATGATCTCCATTTAACAAGCACTATTGGACCCAGATTTTTCTGTGCTAAGGAAAGTATTAGAATCAGGATGTGAAATCGCTTCTCCCAAGCCCTAGAGGTCGGGTTCCTTCCCCTGGGCTGAGCTCTGACTTTAGGGAATTCTTGGTGCCAGTGTCTTCTGTCTAATGACCTAGTACAGTTCTGGGCACCTAGGATCACAGAAGAGCTCTGGATGGAGTCCACAGTCCGTCCTAAGGTGTGTCCTGATTTTTTAGAGATAGCCGCTAATAAGCCTAATGATTAGGCATGCTCCTCCCCTCCTCCCATTTCCATTTTGAGCCTGATGTTTGCACTCAGAATCCTCTAAAGAAAATCCTCTTTAAATGCTATCCACAGCCTGGGAAGCAGTCTGTGTCCCTACTCCCAAGTGCTGTCTTACCATTCCTCTAAAGTGTTATCTGGATTAATCGATTTACCATTTACCATCAATTCAGGCATTTTTATAACTTTGCTCAGGGAGGTGATCTCTTGTGAAAAGCTGATAAGATGGCAATATATTGTTCTGAGAGTGGGGCAACGAGGCCTGTGCATGCAAATATGGTGAAAATAGAATAGCTGTGGTTATGGTGGCACTGCCCTTGAGGTCAGGAGCCAGTCTGCACTTCATTTGGCAGTCTTATTCCAGCATCTGATTTTTTTCTTTCACCATCTATCGTACATCTGCCTCCTGATTTCTCCTCTTAACGGGCTTTGCTATCCAGCTGCATCTATTCCAAGAGTTAAATAAGTCATCAGCAAAACTCAAGGTGGCAGATTAGAGGAAGGCTGCAGTTCCAGTTGCTCGGGGGCTGGGGATCCAGCAGTGGGAATGCCGCTTCTCAGCAAGTTGGGTGAAAGAAGGAATTCACTGGAATTGACTCCCAGACAGTCGGAGCCTCTTAGAGACCCAGAAATTCAGGTTCATTGAACAAAGGACGAGAACGAGTACAGTGGAGCCAAGCTGGTTGTGGAAGTGGCAGCGGAACTGGGTCACTGCAGAGGAGAGGGACAACAGAGAGAGAGAGACCCAGGGGACAAATCCAGCACAGAAGAACCTGTAGAACGGAAAAGCATTCCGACCTGGTGTTGGAAATGTGCTCTGTTTCTCAACTGGCAAATGGACAACAGAGGCAAAGAGCCCTCCCGAGGCAGCCGCATGGCAACTTGCTAAGGATCCTGGGAGATGCTAGCAAATATCCCTGCTGACCTGGCAGGAGCCTGCTGGGTGGCCCAGGGTGTACTAGCAGAATGTGACTAAGGCAGACACGGAGAAGGTTGTACTCGGGGGATTCGCACAGAGATACGAAAAGGACTGCAAAGGACTGCAACTTGCTTTCCCTCCGAGTGACCAGAGGAAGAGGAAACAGAATAGGTGAGTGATTGCACTCAGGGACTGAGCCTGGGAAGGCCACATTCATGGGTGGTGGAGTGTGCAGACCTGTGGAGGGTTTCTTCCCCACTCCACTAGGAGAATTCTCCAGAAGCCCCAGCCACCATCAGCATCTGCCCAGCTCTAGTGGCGTGTTGATCTAATCTCTCCACAGCAAAGACCACCAACAAAGCCACAAAGCTGGGTTAGAGCTGAACCCCAGTCACTGCAACTTCCCCTCTAGCGCTCTGCAGCAGCCCCACCCTGCGAGTGCGTGGACCTGGTCTGCGGGACAAAACTCCAATCATCAGTCCTTCCCCTTCCATACTGCCCCCTACTGGTGAGAAGGGAAGCTGAGCGCTGTTTCAGCAGCTGCAGTGGAGGCCGCTCCAGCAGGCAGCTCAGCGAGAAGCACAAAAAGAGGAGTTCCCAGCCCCTCCTCTCTCTCCAAGGGGTCTGTACACCAACAAGAAATGCAAAGAAGGGCAATTGTGTGTAGCCAGGGGACACCATCCTTGCTGACAGTTTGACCACTCCAGTGGAGACAATTCTTTCATTTTTCATTCTTTTTTTCCTTCTCTTCCGTGTGTGTGTGTGTGTGTGTGTGTGTGTGTGTGAGATGCTGATTGGTTCATGGATAAACACACACACACACAAATATACTTGTTTCTTTTTTCCTCATTTTTAACATTTTTTTGTTTGTAAGTTTTCTTTGTGTTTTGAGGTTTGGGGGGTTTTGTTTATTTTGGTTTTTTTTTTTTTAAATTGTTTTCCTTTCTTTGCGTTCATCTTCCTCTAACAGCCAAATTCTTTTCTTTTTGTTCGCTTCCTCTCTATTTTGTTTTCTTCTTTTCACTTCTCCTCCTCCTTCTTTATTGCCATCACTCGCTGCATCTCTTTTGCTGTCCCTGTTCACATTTTGAATATTCTAGATTTCTTCTGCCTCCCTCTCGTATTTCTTTTCTCTTTTTAAAATTTTTTTTAAGAGAGAGAGAGAAATTTTAATATTTATTTTTTAGTTTTCGGCGGACACAACATCTTTGTCTGTATGTGGTGCTGAGGATGGAACCTGGGCCGCGCGCATGCCAGGTGAGCGCGCTACCACTTGAGCCACATCCCCAGCCCTATTTCTTTTCTCTTAATGACCTGTATTTACCATCCTTTAGAACTATTGGTTTTTTTTGGGGGGTGGGTGGGTGTACTGGGGATTGAACTCAGGGGCACTGGACCACCGAGCCACATCCTCAGTTCTATTTTGTATTTTATTTAGAGACAGAGTCTCACTGAGTTGCTTACGCCCCACAGTTGCTGAGGCTGGCTTTGAACTCACGATCCTCCTGCCTCAGCCTCCTGAGCTGCAGGGATTACAGGCGTGCACCATCACACCCAGGGAACTATTGGGTTTATTTAATCCCTCCCCCCCCCACTCCTGTCGTGGTTATTGGTTCTGTGGATGGGGTGGTGGACGCCTGCTCTTTGTTTAATGTCAGATCTAGTTCATGGCTGCTCCTTGTTGTTGCTGTTGGCAACGGCTCACCCTGCTGTTTCTGTTTCTGGGTAATTGCTGTTGTGGCTGGCATAGTAAGCACTAGGTATTTATTCAGTTGTTTTAATGCTCTGTATTGTTCACTGCTTGCTGTTGTTTGTTTCCGCCTTTTCTGTGAGGCGCTGGGACACTATGGGGACAGTACAAAACCCATACCCAGTGAAGAGATGATGCACACAAAATAACCACGTGCAAGTTTCAGTGATACTTTAATACAAGGAAGAGGTGAACAAAAACCCCCAAGCCAGGCCCCAAGGAGGAATATCTGGTTGGGGGGGGGCTCTCTGTTCCCACTCATGGACGTCCACTCCTCAGCAAAAACAGAAATAGCACAAACACTGTGGACACCACACCTACAAGGGGCCCCAGTCTACACCACTCCTTTGTCCCTGTAGGATACACAGAATTGTTAAGTGAATAGGAAAAGTCCCAGAGGGTGCACCCACCTACCCTGTTGTACACAACACAATTGCTAGATCTACAAGAAGGACCCCACTCTTGTGACACCTACCAGGAAAGTGGGACCCTCTGGTTCTGACACAATGCACACGTCAAAGTATACTAATCATCGCCAGAGGAATAGCAGGGAAGCCATACTACAAAACCCACTTGGAAATATGTTGAAAAATCCACAAAACCCAACCCTGATATTCCAGAATACTTGGCCAAGAGAAGACTGTGTGTTTCCACAGATGCACAAAATCCAACATTAAGAGACCAACATTAGGATAGACATGAGAATACATGAAATTTGAAAAAAAAAACACCCCAACATGACATCTCCTAAAGTTCATAATTCACCAGCAACTGACTCTAACGTTATTGAAGTAGATGAAATACCAGACCAAGAATTAAAAAGGATGGTTATAAAAATGATCAATGAATCCCAAGAGGACACAGAAAAACAACTAAATGAGTTAAGGAAGTCAATGCAGGATATGAATGAGAAGTACAGAAAAGAAATAGAGATACTGAAAAAAAGCCAAGCAGAAACTTTGGAAATGAAAAACACAATGCATCAAACACAACATCCAGGTGAAAGTTTCTAATAGAGTAGACCACACAGAAGACAGGCTCTCAGCTGGGCCATTCAGGCAGTACTGGAGACAAGACAATAAACAACAACCAACAGCCTGATTAGGAGAACTCGGCCAACATTAAGAGACCAAATTTATGAGTCATTGAAACTAAAGAGGTCCTGGAGATAGAGGCTAATGGCATTAAGACACTTTTCAGTGAAATAAATAATAGCAGAAATGTTTCTAAACCTTAGGAATAAGATAGACGTGTAGATGCAGGAATCATTCAGAACTGCAAATAGACAGAATCAAAAAAGAACCTCTCCATGACACATTATAATTAAAATGCTTAACATACAGAGAAAGGATACAATTTGAAAAGCTTCTAGCGAAAAATGTGAGGTCATATCAGAGGTGAGGTAATTAGAATTACCTCTTGTTTCTTTTAAACAAGTATGACCTGTCAAAATTGAATCAAGAAGAAAACTTAAACAGACCAATAACAAGCAATGAAACAATAGCTAAGCTATGGAACCAACCTAGGTGCCCTTCAACAGATGTATGGATAAAGAAAATATGTGGTATGCATATACAATGGAATATTACTTTGCCATAAAGAAGAATGAAATTATGGCACTTGGCCAGTAAATAAATGGGACTGGAGATTATTGTGCTAAGTAAAATAAACCAATCCCTCAAAATCAAAGGTCAAATGATCTCTTTAATATGTGGATGATGACTCACAAGAGGAGGAGGGAGGGAGGGGGGGAGGAGTGGAGGGTCACAGGATTGGATGGGTGGAGTGGAAAAGAGGGAGAGGGTGGGAATGGGAAAGACAGTAGAATGAATTGGACATAACTTTCCTATGTTCATACATGAATACATGACCAGTGTAACTCGACATCATGTATAACCACAATAATGGGAAAGTTATACTCCATGTATGTATGATAGGTCAAAATACATTCTGTTGTTATGTATGACTCAAAATTACAAATTAAAAAAATAATTACAAGAAATGAGTTAGAAGTAATAATAAAAGTCTTTCATCATAGAAAAGTCTAGGATCAGATGGATTCTCAGCTGAATAGCACACCATTAAAGAAGAACAAATGTCAATACTTCTCACATTATCTCATGACATAGAAAGGGGTGGAACACTTCCAAAGTCATTCTATGTAACCAATATCACCCCAATGCCCAAACCAGATAAGGACACATCAAAGGAAGAAAACTATAGGCCAATATCCCCAAAAGATTTAGATCCAAAAATCTTTGATAAAATATTAGCAAACCACATTCCAAAACGCATGAAGAAGATTGTATACCATAATCAAGTTGGAGTCATCCAGAGATGCAAGGATGTTTGAACATATGCAAATGAACAAATTAATTCATGACCCCAATAAAATTAAGGACAAAAATCACATAGCCATCTTTATAGATAGAGAACCTTTGACAAAATTCAGCACCCATTCATGATAAAAACACTGGGGTGAGTAGGAATTGAAGGGCCTTACCCTGAATCTTAAAGGAATAAGATAGAAAATCACAGCCCAGCATCATAGTAAATGGGGTAAAACTGAAAATGTTTCCTTTAAAATCTGGAACAAATCAAGGATGTCTGCTCTTACCACCTCTACTCAACATGGTACAAGTACTAATTTCCATAGCAATTAGGCAAGAAAAGGAAATAAAAGGGAGGAAAATAGGAAAGGAAGAAGTCAAATTATCACTGTTTGCAGATGACATAATCCTATACTTAGAAAACCCATTTCACTGAAGGAGCCAACGGCTCCTTTCCTGTTCTGGCAGGACCGAGGGAATCCACTGCTCCTACCCCACGGGACATACACATGCACAACCTCGCCTAGCATTCCCCTGGAATGGGTGTCCCCACTCTCATTTCCCTTGCTCATCTGCCTTTCAGTGGTTCTCATTGTGTTATTCCAAAGTATTCTGGAAATTGCATTTTCAACTGGACTTACTTGGGGGAGTCAGATGGACCACATAACCATTTCCAACATAGACGACCCAGTGCTGATAGCCAAACCGAAAAATCTCAATTAAATCTCCAGGTTTGGGCTGAAAGAGAAAAGCCAGAGAAAGTTAGACAGGCTTCCAGGCACCTGGGGAACCTTCCACTGGGGAGCAGAAGCTCAGCCAGGGGGCTCCTCCTTGCTCCTGTTCGTCACCTGGTGAGAACGTGTGGAGGAAAGAGCCCCTGTGTCCGAAAGAGCCCCTGTGTCCCTCGGGATCCACAGCCCCACTGCCACTTTGTAGGGCTCCCTCCCCTCCATGGGGGACCTTCACTGTGGAAGCCTGGAACATGCCCTTGTGGATTGGGAGAGGGAGGCTTGTCTGGGTGGGTGTCAAGTGTGTGTGCACTGAGGACGCAGATGTGCACGCGCAGGTGCGTTGTACCTGTGCTCCTAAGAGTGCCCACGTACTGTTAAACGTAGCAGCACCTTTGCTGATGAGGGAGGAATACTGCAAAGGTGAGGCTCAAGCTCTCTGCCCTTTGCAGGTGGACTCTCAGGCCCTCATCCGTCCTCCTGTCCTGTGCTCCTCCATGATAATATCAGGCACCTCATCCTCCCTCCAACCTGACACCTAGCCCTCACAGATGCCACCTGTGAGACGAAAGTACCAACAGCCTCATGGGTTTGGAGCCTTACAGTGGGGTCTTATGGGGCCATTTGACTCCCAGCACTGAGGGGTTGTCTCCAGGCAAGGAGAAGACCTCTCAGCCTAGGATAACTGTGATCCCACAACCTCCCCTCTCCCTGCAAGCACCAGGTTGGGCCACAGTTCCCTCTACCCAGGGAGGGCAAAGAATCCCATTGAACAGATGAGGAAACTGAGGAACAGAGAGGAAGACGGCCTTGCCCAAGATCATCAGGGGGAAGACTGTGCTCTTCTCTACCTTCTCTGTCTGCTTCCCTGGTGTCCTGACTCCCCTCTGCCTTCCTCACTTCCTCCTCCCTCTCTCCGCTCACCCCCACCACCTTGGGCACTGCAGCTTCAAAATTTGAGAAAATTTCAGCTTTTCTCCCACTTGGAGCCTGTCGTCAGTGTATGACAAACCCTCTTCCATCCATTCAGAGATGAGGGGTCAACTTTGCCCTCTTTTTCAAGCCAATATAAAGTCACAAGGTCCATCCAATGCAGACTCCAGAAGTTTCTTCTGATTCATTTCCACGCCCATCTCCTATTCCAGCCTCTGTGACCTCTCACCCCAGCCTTCTGACTGGCCTCCCCATCTCCTGTCCCTGTCATTACACATCCAGTCCCAAGAACCACAGGGGCCTGCCCGTGGGCACGTCTGGTCATGAACTTCCTCTCACATCAGGGTACCTGATGCCCACTGCAGGCAGCCTGCAGGCCTTCCTGATGGGCACTTCCTCACCATCCTCACCTTCCCTTGGCTCTGCCCAACCCCAGGACCACTGAGTGACTTGTCCTCCCCTTCATCACAGCACCCGCTCTGGCCTCTGCTGCTGAGCATGTCTGGGTCTCACTCCCACAACCTGCCCAGCCTGGCTCTCTGGGCACCAGGCCGTGGAACCTCCCCTCTCCCTGCAAGGACCAGGCTGGGCCACAGTTCCCTCTACCTGTGTGAGTGCCCTCTGCCCTCTGAGCTCAGGAGCAGGTCCTGTGTGCTCACCCCTCCTTCCCGTCAACACCAGGATCCAGCCAAAGGCCAGGCCTGGAATGGGGCAAAGGAAATAAGCACAGGAGAAGGTGGAGGATCAGCAGGGCCAGACCCCTGTCCAGCTCCTCCTGCTTCTCAGCCTAAGTGGCCACGTCACTCAGGCCACAGCAAGGCCAGAGAGCCTCCATCTGGGAAGAAGGAGGGGTTTTTCATTCCATCTTCAAAATGTTCAAGGACATGGCCAGGGCATTGTGGACAGGATGTGGAGCTGGAATTCCAGTGTGGGCCTCTGCTTGGGTGAGGAAAGAGGGCAGGGTGTGGCCACTGGGTCAGAGCAATGCCCTTCCAGAACCTCCCTTATTCTGGATAAAGACAGGGGCCTTCCAGGATCTGTCCATTCCCAATAACTACGAACTCAGCTGAACCACACGGAGCTGAATTAAGCCCTGCCTAGAACTTCCCTGACACAGAAAACCGAGGTTGCTAGGACTCCATACCTCACGGAGCACAGGGGTGAAGCAAGAAGCATCTTGACCTGGGGGGAAAGGACCGTGAAGGGAAGAGGAGGGACAGAGGGGATGATGTCTGCGACTTGGAAGGATCCAAATCCTAATCCCAGCAGCAGCTGGAGGCGAGGTAAGGATTAGCTCACCAGCTAGAGCCCAGAATCGAGGCTGAATGTGGCCTGAGTGTGAGCCCAGGGCCCCAAGCCAGATACGGGCCTTCTAGAGCAGGGACCTGTCTCCCTTCACACTCCCAGCCCAAGACCGTAATCAAGCCCCATGGACACGGAAAGGAGATGTCCACTGGAAAAGAACTCATTGCCTCTCATGGAACATTCACTTTTATGTAATAGCAGAATTGTTATCCAAGACTTCAAAATCAAAACTAGTACAGCTGCATGTGGTGGTGCACCTCTGTAATCCCAGTGACTCAGGAGGCTGAGGCAGGAGGATCTCGAGTTTGAGGCCAGCCTTGGAAACTTAGCAAGACCCTACCTCAAAATAGTAAAAAACATAAAGTGCTGGGTATGTAGCTCACTGGTAGAGTGCCCCTGGGTTCAATCCCTAGTGTGAAAAATATATAAATAACATCTATATATTTTATATATAATTATTATGTAAAACACATATAATTATCATATTACATAATAAATAAATATGTGTGTGTGCATGCGTGTGTGTGTGTGTGTGTGTGAATGTATGTATGTATTCAAAGCTAGTACTCATCACTGAGACCAGCAAACTGGATTGTCTTTCCAGGGGGCAGTCGACTCACTGTAGAACCACTTACCATAGCCATTCTGAAGCCACCTGCACATGCATTTGCGTGAACTCTGAGAGTTTCAGTTTCAGTTCTTTCTGCTCTGCTCAGAGTTAATTGTTTACTGGCCAGGCATCGAGAAATAGCCACAGCCTGAGAACTAACAGTGTACGATCAGTTGGCCCAGAAACAGGAAGAGAAATATTGTCCCCTAAGTAGCCAAAATCCCCTCTCGCCTTGCCATCCCCAACCAGGGGAGGGGCTGCTGTGAAGTCAGCGCAATGTCTCCCAACTGTCACCCTGATTATTGAGTCAGCTTTTGCTGTGGTAACAGGCAAACCTGAAATCTCCAGGACTTCAAACAAAGAGATTCACTTCTGACTCACATAGCACGAGGGCATGTGTCAGTTGCGATTCTTCTGGGCTCTCTAGGTTTGGGCTTTGGGCAGAGGTCAAGTTCAGGTGTGTACCACCTGTGTTTGTCCTCTGGGCTCCAGGCAGGTTAAAGGAATGGCCTGAGACACATCCTGGGACACAACGTGGCAAAGGGCACACGGGGAAGAAGCGGAGTGCAGCCACGCCGTTTCATCTGAAACTCCCACCTAGATGTGGTCATTGACTGGTCATTGTCCGAATGTCCCAGTACCAAGCCCAAAGCTGATGAGGGACATGGATGAGGTACTTCACAAGGGCCACAATAGATAATCCACAACCATGAGGGGACAGGGTATTAGGTGGGAGAAGGGCAACAGTGTAAAGCAAGGTGCATTTTCCAAAGTCATTCAGAAGCTGAACCCCGAAAAATATCTGGCTGGAAGAGTTGGACAGTGACTAGCCGTGGGTACATCCACAGGAAAAATCAAAGCAGGTGGAGTGAAGGTGGGGTCCTCTGGGTCAAAGCATGCCCTGCATTCTTTGAACAGCTTGGCTGCCAGACACGACTGTATTAGCCAAAGTCCTCCAGAGAAACAGGCGAAATGGTGCAGGTAGAGAGGACACAAGACTTTGGTATATATTAGAGAGTGACATGATGAATTGTGAGTGTGTGTGTGTGTGTGTGCATATGTGTGTGTATGCGGAAAGAGGGAGAGAGAGAAAATTCATCATGAAGAATTGGCTTGTACCATTATGGAGGCTGAGAAGTCCCATGATCTTACCTACCGTCTGCAAGCTGGAGACCTGGAAAGCAGAGGTGTGATTCAGCCCAAGGCCGAAGCCCGTGTGGACCAGCGAACCCCAGAGCAGTCAGCAGAAGGAAACGGGAGGAGAGGGAAGCAGGTGTTCAGAAACACAAGAGGGTCAGGGGACAGATGGCAGGAACCGGTCAACACAGTTTCAGATTTGGCCAGTGTGAACCCTCCCCAGAAACCTCGAGTAGCAAGGCCTCTAAGTGAGCTCGAGGCCCCCGTAACCAGAAAGACCTGATTTGCACCTCATGGGCCTACAAGAAAACTCCCTTGAGTGGCCACAGCTCCCTGCCTGCCCTGCCCGGACACCCCAGTTCTTGTTAAGATGTCAGGGTCATCGCAAGTTGGAGGGAAAGAGGTAATTATTTTAAAAAGAAGAAGAGAAATGCCCCCAAACCAAGGGACCAGCACAATAATATAAACAAGAAAGCTTCCCAGTCCCTGGAGGGTGGTGTGTGAACACTTCCTGGGGGTGATATGAGTCTCTGAAAAGGTGAATGATTCATTTGTCCAGTTGTAACAGTGAGTGAGTCAGAACATCTGATACAAATTTTGGAGGAAGAGGGCAAGTGAGAGGCCTGCCTTCCTGCATGGCACCTGTCCACGCCAGGACCGCCCTCCAGGGAGCACCGCCGTGTGTGGGTGCTCACCAGGGGAAGGGCCAACCCCGCCTTTACCACACAGTTGGGGAACTGAGGCCCAGGGAAGAAACTGACTTTCCCTCAGTCCTGCTGCCACAGAGGGACTAAACTCACCTTTTAAGAATACTTCTTTTTGAAGTAAAAACAAACAAACAAAAAAACCAGTTTTTTTTTTCTGTGTTAATGATCTGATTCTCCTTGCATCCAAATAAGTGATGCCATGCTCTCTGAGACTTTTCTGCCTCTGAGAGGCTGGGATAGGGGATTTTGTAGAACAGAAAAGAGAGAGAAGAAGAAACCAATTTAAAAGAAGAATCAATACTTTCCGTCATAATCACTTCCAGAAAGTAGAAGAGAAGGAGACACCCTTCCTTTATCTTATGAAGCCAACATTACCCTGATAACAAAATCAGAATTTACAACACAAAAAGACAAAACTATACACCAACATCACTCATAAATATTATGCAAAAATCCTTAACACATTATTTTCAAATGAAAATCAACAATATAAACATACAAAAAGAAGCTGGGCATGATAGCACATGCCTGTAATCCCAGCAACTTGGGAGGCTGAGGCAGAAGGATCACAAATTCAAGGGCAGCCTCAACAAGTTGGCAAGGCCCTAAGCAACTTAGCGAGACCCTGTCTCAAAGTAAAAAATAAAAAGAACTGGGATGTAACAAAGTGTTAAAGCATCCCTGATTTCAATCCCCAGCACACACATACACACAATTTTATATCATGATATAATGAGTCTTAATTCAGAGATACAAGCTTAATTCAATATTAAAAAATGAGACAATGTAATCTACATAGTAGGCTAAAGAAGAAAAAGAAAACCCACTTAATCATATCAACTAGTGAAGAAAAAGCATTTGTCAAAGTTCAACACCTGGATTCAAAGTTTAAAAAAAAAAAAAAACAAAAACCAAATAAACAAACAAACAAAAAAAAACTATCCAGCAGGGCTCAGTGGTGCACACCTGTAATCCCAGTGGCTCTGGAGGCTGAGGCAGGAGGATCACAAGTTCAAAGCCAGCCTTGGCAACTTAGTGAAGCCCTAAGTGACTCAGTGAGACCCTGTCTCTAAATAAAATATAATAAAGATCTGGGGATGGGGCTTAGTGGTTAAGTGCCCCTGGGTTCAATTTGCAGTACAAAAAAACAAAAATAAAAAACAAAAATCAAAACCAAAAATCCCCCAAACAAACGGACAAAAACTATCCAAAAAACAAGAATGGAGGTAAAGAGCACTCACATAAAATGTGCCATTAGCATCATACCTAATGAAAAAAGGCTGAATGTCTTCCCTTTAATACTGGGAATAAGGCAAGGATGTCCTTTTACTTCTGCTTTGAAATACAAAAAAATACAGTAGTCACAGCAGAAAAAGAGGCAGCAGTGGTATAGAGGCCAAATCCAGTGGCTTAGGGCCTCCCTCATTAAGTTGCTGAGGCTGAGAACAACAGGCTAAGGGAGATAAGCCAGTCTCAGAAAGTCAAGGGTCCTGCGTTTACTCATGTGGAAGCTAGGGAGAAAACAGGAAAGGGCAGGGACCTCATGAAAATGAAACAGAGAACACTGGAGTAGTGGGAGGGAACAGGGGAGGGGGGAAGGGAGGGAAGGGAAGGTGTGGGGGTGTGGGGGATGAAACAGACCAAATGATGCTGTGCGCATGTGTGAATATGCAGCAGTGAGTCCCACTGTATGCTTAATCATGATAGAGCAATTTAAAAATAATAAGAAGGGCTGGGATTGTGGCTCAGTGATAGAGAGCTTACCCCGCATGTGTGAGGCACGGGGTTCGATCCTTAGCACCACATAAAAATAAAAAAATAATAAAAATATTGTGTCCATCTACAGCTAAAACATTTAAAAAATAATAAAGATAAGAAAAATAAATAAAGGCCAAATCTCAGAGAAATCCTGGGGTTCTCATTTACCATCTTTATAAACAAGAGAACTAGTCCAGAACTATGCTGAATGAATCTTGGAACACCAACTGCAGGTATCCTACTGAAATTTCCAGATTAGGGACAGCCTAGCCTTCATTTGAGTTCCACTTTGAACCCGGGTTTATCAAATCAGTCCTGAACAAAAAATAAATACAGGATGCAGTCAGAACCGGTTAAGGCTGACCTTGTTTCTTTGAAGTTCCCGAAAATTCTTAGCTATGGCAGACATGGGCACTATTAGGAGGAAGGAAAAAATGTTATGGTAAAGGTCATGAAGAAAAAGCAGAAGCATAAGGGCCAATGCACTATTAGAATAATTACAGAACAAGTGTCCAGCAAGTCAAATTTTAACTTCTCCAGCATCTGTGAATGGAGAATCTGGATGAAGATTCTGAGTGCACATTAGTCTCTGATTTTGAAATTGGACAAGTTTGATCTCGTGACTCCACCATGCGGCCAGCGCATTGGTTTCATTAATGAGGTTCTTGGCATAAAAGTTAGCTAGCGAGATCGAAATAAACACACAGACTCAGTTACCTTTTTCTATGACCAGGTCCGAGACGGCTCCCCTCTCTGGCTCCAACCTCGAACCACCCAACCGTAGGGCAGCAAGGATTACTCAGGGCTAGCAGGAGAGAGAGAGAGCGAGCACGCCAGGGAGTAGCCTTTTATTGGGGAACAAGAAATTCAGGGGAGAATTCCATCCAATGAAGGTTGAGGGGGGCCACACTACAAGGTCAAGATCAGTGATTGGCCCCCAGGGACAGTGGTCAGTCACACCCCCATACGGACGGGTTCTCTCATCAGGAGAGGGCCGGGAAAGCTCCGACACAGATTAGTTAGAGCACCTCAGACCCAAACCGGGAGTCGCCCAGTCACGTGTGAGAATGGCTCTCCACATATCCCCCCTTTCTTTTCTTAAAAATGAGGCAGCGGTTCACTCTTTGGAGTTTCTGTATTCTTGTTCCGAAGACTCGCCATCCTATAATTACAACACAAAAGAGAATTAACAGCAAAGAGAATAATCCAATAATGTACCAGGCTGAGTGTTTAAGAATGTTTACAGGGTTGAATCCATTCAACTCCTTCAATATTTGGTTAGCCAAAGAAGAAGGATCTGAAAAATCAGCTCTATTATTTTGAATGTCTTGGATATGGTGATGAAGTTCCAGAATATCCAAGCTATTATTACTATTTTGCCAAATACCTAACAAATGGTTTTTAACCTTCTCCCAATCCCAGAGAGAAGCATTGTACTTGGCAGCTGTAACACACACATACTTATAATTAGCATGGCATTTAAGACTTTCTTTAAATTTTAAGGCTGAAAGTTCATTACCTATGTCTATAACAGTCGCCTCTAAGGCGTTTAATTTAGTTTCAATCCTTTCATCAATATTTACTTGATTACGCAGAGCCTTGGAAGTATTTTGAGCTAAATTATTAAGAAATTTTGCATGCTGAATATTCTGAGACAATGTCAGAGACGCAGAGACAGTTGAGGCAATAAAGGAAACTAGCGCCAAAACACCAACAATTATAACTCCAATAGCACGTTTAGGTCTTGCCAACTGGGCATGAATTTGCTGCAAGACTTGTAAACCAGTATCAGAATACCATGGCTCTGAAATATTAGCAGGCAATAAAACGAAAGAGGGCTGATGTAGTATCAGCACTCCTTTTCCTCCATTATACCTAGTAATACAATTGGTTAGGTTACATTTATTACAAGTAACAATATATCTGTCATCTATCCATTTAACTTTTACATTTCCAGTAATTAAAACATAAGGAGATTGGACACAGGCTCGTAAGCCATAGCAAGATTCCTCTTTACAGTTCTTGCCAATAAATTTTGGTAAAGGTTTGTCTGTAAAATGTAAGAATTCTGAGGCAGCAATTAAACGCCAAACATCCTTTTGAACACCACCTTCACTATAAGTTAAAATATTACTAACAAATCCTGCAGGTGTCATAGCAGAATTTCTTCGTAATTGTCTCTTATCAATTTTTGGAGACCAGTCTAAAATATACCCACTATCTTTAGACACCTTATGTTGTACAGGAAAGGTATTTACACAATCCATCCATCTAGGAAAGGTGCCAATCTCAATTGTAGAACTATTTGGACAGTGGTGTATCTATGGAGGTTTTGCAGAAATGACTGGCTTGTTATGGGAAAGTCCCATCTTAATCACTGATCTAGTATAAGGTCTTAAGTCCCCATAAATAGAATTATTTGTCAGTCTAGGTCCACCAATCACTGTCTTTTCCTCGAATGATACTTTCAGACAGCCAGCATGTTTATCATGTGACCAACACAAGGGTAATTGGGCACTGTAGCCAGAATAATTAAATCTAGTCACATGATTGGGAGTAATATGAGTATCTGTAAATCCTCCCATCATGAATGAGTCATTAGTAAATACTGGAATGGATTCTCCAGTCCACACAGCTG